AGGGTGGTGAAAATCCAGTTAGGTCTATGCAAAGATCAAGCAGCACTGTTGCTACCCCCTCTGCTCTCCCCAGGAGTCTATGAATGAAGGATCATGCATGAAAAGGTCAACTACACCTGCTGATTTGAAGTACTCCAAAGCCATCTTGGCAGGACCATGGTACATTAGTTTTCCTGAGGCCAATATGGTGAGGCTGTCAAATAGCTGGACGATGGAATACCGAGGCTGATAAATAGAGAAGATGATTGTTCATCCCTGCTCTGAAAGGCTAAGTGAAAAAGGGAAAATAATGAATTATTAAACTTCCAAACCTTGCACTTCTTGGTAAAATACTTTATTCCTGTCAGTAGAGCATTTTCTCTCAGTTCAACTTGATCTCATCTCACAAACTTCTCATTTCAATTTATACTTGATATTAGCACAAAAAGACCGGGCCGGGTGCAAACTTCATGGATCATTTCAGCCTTTTATTCCAGAAGGGGATTACATTCACAGGAATGGACTCACTCTTCTGGTGGAGACCCTGGACAAAGGAGGGTTCTGGGCTTATATAAGCTATACTGAGAGGTGACTGAACTAATGATCTTATTAGTTTAGGGCACTTAGGAATTTGGGGTATGACTTACTGGGTGAAATGGGAGAGGTCTAGGGTCAGTGGGCAGTTTGGGCACTCAGGAAATAGGTTTGTGAGAATTTGAAAATTTGTTTTTACTGGGAAATATTTTTACTTGGGGAAGAATGGAGGGTCTGGGGTCAGCGTACAGTGCTTGTCTCTTTCCCTTCAGTGTCCTACTGTACTGTCACTGGGAAAGGGTTTATTTGGGAAAGGATTAATGCTTTGGCTTCCTTTCTAGGGATTGTTCTGTCACTGGGAAGAATGAACTGGGAAAGGATCAATGCCTTTAATGTGCTAATTTTCTTTTTACATCCTCTGTCCAAGCCATACTATTTTAGGGTTTGTCATATTCCATATCTCATACTTGGAAACCGGGGAACCTAAATTTAATCTTTTATAAAGAAGATAAAGATTCTTAAAATTTGATGCATCAACAGTCTAGAATTGGCTAGAATTTTAGTGAAAATGCACATTCCTATATAGTCTTCCCAGACAGTGAATTACAATATCTGGAGTTATGTATAATGAATCTGTATTATTAATAAGCATCACAGATAATCTCTAAGTACACTCATTTTGAGGAGTAGTTATGGACCAATGATTAAAAAATATCATATAACTAATTCTCATTGATCATTTAAGTATTCTGGCTCATTAGGAATTGGTTTTCACTTCTATCCTCATGATATATTATTACTAAGCACTCAGAATATCTTCACTAAATACTTTAGAGTTAGACTTATTTCCATTTACAAAATGTTGTTATAAGGCAGTTCTAATATTATCATTTCCCTCCATTTTACAGATAAGGCTTAAAGGTCAAGCAACTGAAAAGGGACTCACAGTTACTAAGGGGCAAGTTTGGGATCTGAGCTCTGAACCAATGCTAAGCTAGGAACACTGCTAAACTATCTTTTATAGAAGTTATTACTTATGGGTAGAAGAAACAAAGGCCACAGTCACTATTCAAAACAGTTATTTAAATTATTTTAAGAGAAGAATCATTTTAATTTAAAAATTTGATAAGCACCTTGTGCATCTAGCAATGTATCCAAGAAT